AGTGCATGTGTTTTAATTTTTCAATCAATGTTCCGGATACTAACATAAAACAATTTATTATATCGTTAAAACAAATGAATGAAGTCAAACGACTCAAAAAGTAGTTAAGTATATCCACAACGAAGCATACAGAAATTCGCAAAGCCAAATCATGGATCGAGTATAAATATATTCAACGAAAATCAAAAAAATTTAAATCAAATCAGCAACATAAATTATACATAAAAATCATTTAACTGGTGCAGTGCATATCCTTTACAGGTTCTATATGACAAATATTCGCCAACTTTACCAATCGCTATAATAGCCAACGTTCGATATTCTGGTTTAGCCATCATTACGCACAAAACAATCTGAGCCAACGCTACAGCGAAACCGAAGAACAATTTCGATAACATTATTGTTTCCCCTGAGGCCTCGACTGGAGATGTTTTGCGCTTGACAACTCTATCAGAATATCGAATTTGGCTATTACACTTGACTAGCATGAGCAAGACCTATGTTTATTTTCTCCGTATTTTTATTTTTAGCTTTGCCTCGCATCAACTACCTGACCTCAAACCTGTCTGGTAATCAAGGAGATTCAATAACACTAAGATGTAATGCATCTGGATATCCAGCACCTCGTGTTACATGGATACACAAGGATACAAACAGAACAATTGCTAATTCCAGTGCAACGTCATTCAACATCACTTGTAAAGCATCAAGAGGAAAGTATTGCTGTCACGTGTCAAACGATTTTGGTGAAGAGACTATTTGTACATCCCTTGAAGTGACAGGTATGCCATGAGTTGTATAGTAAAATTTAATACACTTGATAAGTTGTGTCAATGTAAAGAGGGGGTTTTGTTAGGTTTCATCATCCATATTTTGAACAGCAATTAACAAAGAAAGAAAAAAGAAAAAAAAAAGAAAAAAAAGAAAAAAAGAAAAAGAAAAATGAAAAAAAAAGAAGGTGAAGACAACTAACTCGCCAACGAATGAAAACAAACCCTTTTTTAAAATGTATCTTAAACCTTAAGTTAACTTATACACGATAAATTTATTATCTGCAGAAGAAAAACGCTGCAGGTATCTTTTTTATACAACCTTGCACGCTATCGATGGTTGGCTGATTGTTTTCAGCCAATCAGATGCGGCTGGCTAATGATCACGTACACAAAGACATCAGTTTACTAAATAGGGAGGAAGGTAGAGTAAACAGAAGAGACCTGTATGTACCTTCTGCTATTTAGATCAACATTTTTATATAGGGCTTACTTACTAAGCATGGCAGATGGTTGAACACTCTGGTCTTAGCGTTGAGACCTGAGAATTTGTTTCCGATATCTTGTGACTTGTGCTATCTTGTCATTATTATTATGCAGAATATCAACCAATAAATACAAAGCTGACATTGGATATGAATTTTGCAACAGCAAATAAAACATTTGAAGTATTCTGTAATGCAGACGCATCTCCGCCAGCAAATTACTCCATCAAACAAGGAAATATAACAATGTTAAATTCGTCTGATGGTAATGTCACAATTACTACACCAAATAATGTGACGTATCTTACTATCGGCTGTATTGCGAAGAACAAATATGGACAAGGAAAAGAAATATACCTCAAAATGCCGATCTATCGTAAGTTAAATCCTAAATAAAAAAGTTCAAAATGGTTAGTAATGTTATTGATTAATAAGCATTACTTTTCATGCTGTAACTT